CACCGACCCTGGTGTTCTGTGGTTCTGAGAACGGCTCCACTACACTTACGGTCGGGTCGTATGAATTTTTGCTGGCCCTCGCCAGCTCCATCATTCTTGGTTCCGAGTCCCGAGTCTCTCTCGACTCTGGGAATTGCGCAACAATGCAACACTTGGATTTATACCATAGCCTGCATACTGGCATTTCGAAACGAATTGGTCTTTGTAATGGAGACCTACTGCGTTTTCTATGAGGTAGGAACTCGTTTCTATGTATCACGCTTATGTGCATGAATTTCACTCATCAGTCTGATGCTTCGGTCAGTTCTAGCGCCCCAACTTTTTGAAGCCTGGAAAGAAGTTAACACAAAAATGCTAACCCCAGAGAAAGAGAGAGAGAGAGAGAGAGTGGGGAGGTAGTGAGAGACACTACATTGGAGGGGGGGGGGAAGAAACTATATCTCTGGTTTTGTAGGTTCCCAGGCAGTGCTCGCTCGTCCTTCTGGTAGAAAAATGTATATGATCGGAATTAACTATATATGACGTTGGAAAGGCTGCAGTGTAGTGAAATTGGATCTAACATGGGAAGGGCTACGTTAGAGGGAAACATTGTTGTTAACATTGGGAGGGATGCATGTGAAGCGAGTAATGAGGCGTAGAATTTGGGTACCTAAATATTTTATAAAAATTCAGTTCTTGCCTCACAGAAATCGCGCTGTCTTCATGACAACGACCCACTTGTTAATGCTGCTTAGGGAAATAGTAACTAATTCGGATCCCAGCTGACTCATTACTATTTAAGTCCATTTTTGTATATTTTTACATTTCAGCACTTTCGTGCTCAAGTCCAGAAATATTTATTTGATTAATTTTGCACGTGATGTCATGATGACCGTTTAGTATCGAGACAGGCAGTGGATGGTAAGAAATATGAAACATTTCAATGTAAGTTTGTGTGACAGATAATCTTATGAGTTTAAAGTAATCGCTGTTTAATGTGATAATCTCATGAAACACATAAACACGCGCTGTGGGAAAACAGGAATTTTTTAATGTTAAACCAGGTGGTGCACATAGTTACCATTCTACACGTACTTCGGAAGATCATTTTCAAATGGTCATCGGTTTTTAAATACGTCTAAATGCTGAAGACACCAACAAATATCACGAAGGCAAATTACAGTGATCTGTTAGCAGCTCTTAGTTCAGCTCCATTATCTTATGGGCTGATGCTGAGTTGAATCGAACGCATAAAGCAAGAAAGCCTACAGCATAGAGCGTAAGGAGGAAGAGAGATGAGAAGACCTGGTATGAGATGGTGCAACAGGCCCCGTTCGCCTACGAGTAATCCTGTTTTGCAGAGAAGATAAACCCATGACAAAAAATTGATGTATTTTAGGATGTGACGCCTAGCATTTCGTAGGTCGGTACCCTGAAGATGGAGACAGGACGTACCTTCGAATCACTGGCACATGTTTACCAGGCTGGAGGGCGTCATATGTCCGAAGATAGAACTTTCTTAATCAGTGGCGGGAGAATCTCATTGTGTCTGTCATTCCACATGTGACACGTGTCTACCAGCCGCTGGGTGTCCGTGAATATATAGCCACTAGAAGCCCCCCCTCCCCATTGTTGCTACTTAGCAGCCGTGCTAAATTCTTGGAAGGGTTCAAGACTAGTGCCAATTAATATAGAACCCTTAAAGTTTGTGACTTATAGAGCTTCGAAGCATACGCAGATTCTGTTAAAGACAATTTTTGTAGAATCTAACAACAATATGGCGTCCTTACGAATCTTATATTTAGATTTCGGCTTGATAGCGATAATTAAAATCTATTGACGGATGGATGGATGACAACAAATTCTACTGTACGGAGCAGTCACGGTGTGAAACTTTGAGTGTGTTTGAGCAGTTATGCATGAGCGGGCCGGTAGTTGTATCAGTATAAGGCCTGCAGCTGCCAGAATTCGTTGGCTGCAGTGTTGAGCTTATCGAGTTCCTTGCGAAATTGTCCATTCCAAGTACGTATTTACGCAACCGATTATTAACATTACGTCAGACAATTTGTTGCGTTTGGCCACTCGGTACAAGCGCGCATCCTGCGTCTTTGTCATGCAAGGCAGGTACCGAGTAACGAAAAAAGGCGCTAAGCACCGTCGTCGCCTTGTGTCGCTCAATAAGGGGGTTGTGTCCTTCGACATGTCGGTAATACACGATGAATTACCGGACTTACTTACGGCGTGGTCTTGATGCACACAAACAGGGCAACTATATGTACCGCCTGATTTGACACTAAAGAAACTCCTCCATATGGTTCTCACAATAAACAGCGACTGTTTCCCTAAACAGCATTAACCGGTTGGGCTTTGTTATGGAGACGTAGTGTTTCCTGTGAGGTACGGACTGAATTGCTCTGCATTCTGCCCACACAGTGTATCTGTGTGTTCCGTATGGTTCTCACAGTAAACAGCGACTGTTTCCCTAAACAGCATGAACCGGTTGGGCTTTGTAGCGGAGACGTGATGTGTTTCCTGTGAGGTGCGGACTGAATTGCTATTATGTATTCTGCCCACACAGTGTATCTATGTGTTCTGTATGGTTCTCACAGTAAACAGCGTCTGTTTCCCTAAACAGCATTAACCGGTTGGGCTTTGTAGCGGAGACGCAATGTGTTTCCTGTGAGGTACGGACTGAGATTTATATATTCAGCTGAACGCTTGCTTCAAAGAGTTGAAAACTTGCAAGTCTGTGGTGAGCTGTAGTGGCACTAACATGAAAGGCGCCTGTGGAATACTAAGTTCTGGAGGAGTGTCACGAAGGGGCTTGATCTCTTGTTTGGCGTTCGTCGGAAGAGGTGACATTGTTTTGTCGACACGAACCGGAATTGTATTCATCCGGTATATGGTTCAGATGAGAGAAGCGGACATACGTTGTGGTATTCCTATTATGCTTCGATTTTATCTGCCCCTCTGAAAAAAAAAAAACAGGTATAAATATAAGCTCTTCGTGTTTCACTTGTTTTTAGTATGTTCGTTAATTTAACGAGGCTGTCAGTATCGAGGCTAAATGATACGATGGTTAGTGAATGTGGAGCGGTTGGTGGATTGAGAATTGGGATGGGAAGCAGAAGTACTCGAACCAATTCCCGCGCAGTGTCACTTTGTCCACATGACCTGGGGTCGAACCCCGGCCGCCGAGATGGAAAGCCGACGCGTAGCCTCCTGAGCTATGGCACGGCCGCGGTGGCTGGCAGGACAGAGGGAAAACCCGTGGTTGGAATTGGTGGCCTCCATGCATGCGCATCTCCAAGACTGCCGTCCGCTCTAACGTGACGTTCTTTGTGCTTTACTGGGAGTGACGTCAAGGTGGGTGATTTGTAGCGTGCCGCGAGCTCATCACTGGCGCGGCAGATGACAGAAGATGGCCCAAATTTGCTGTCGGGACACGGGAAAGAATAAATTGCGTCGCATTGTCCAATCTGCTTCGATTGTGGGGCCGCGTTTCCTGTGAAACAGGGCGGACGTTGCGTTTCATGCAGAATGTAATCAAGACATGATATGCTTAAAGGTTATACCAGGCAGCGCAGTGCTTGCGATGCTGACAACGTTAGTTACACGATATGCTAAGCTTTGTAGTTAGTTGCAGTGGACAGGTGACTTATTCAGTGCAAACAGTACCAATACACATGGGTCTATGTATGCAGTATATATATCCTTTTAGTTTATCTTTAAAATATAGTGGTAACTGTAGGTACCACTTGGTTAAGTGACTATAGACGGGGTTTGGATTGATGACCGGATTTATTGGACTGATTGATATAGCGCGTGTCTACACTTTACTGTTCACTATTACACACACTAGTGTCCACAGTCACGTCTTCACTGGCCACTGCTTTGTAACGGCTTCCAACGGCAGATTTTGCCCTTCCTTTGTGTTCCCGAACTGTCACCGGCCTCAGCCACCAGCGTCTCAACGGCTCACAAGGACTGAACCGCAGCTGTCCTCTAACAAACTCAGACTTCTAACTTGTCCTGCTTATAACATTTCGGCAAAGAAAACGTCGTTACTCTGTTGCTGTTTACGGACCGTTACCTAGTTACGCCTTTGTTTAGTTTGTTTCGCGGTCGTTGCCTAGCAACGGGCCTACCTGTCGCAATATTTATCATCTGATTTAACTTTACACACTTTACATTAACAGTCTGTTTATATGTTCCGTATGGTTCTCACAATAAACAGCGACTGTTTCCCTAAACAGCATTAACCGGCTGGGCTTTGTTATGGAGATGTAATGTGTTTCCTGTGAGATACGGACTGTATTTCTGTATATTTTGTTGACACGAACTTCATCCATCAGAGTCAGTGGTCGAGAACCTGCCAATGTGGAGGCGGGTTCGAATACCTCCACAGTAGCCCAGCGAGTCGCAGGAGGTGCCACGGTGTATAGCTGGGCCACCCTGTTCCTGGGGGATATAAATACGGGGACCTGGCCCTCCAGGTTGGGGGAGTCTCGAATGTGAGACAATAAAATATGGCCATGAGTCCCGCGGGACACGGATCTGAGAATGACTACGCCGGCGAGGGCCAGCAGTAATTGTGAACGGTAGATCCTCTCGTCAGAGATGGCCACCCTCATCAAAAACAGGCGACTGTCTGACAGTAACAAGAATCTGGCCTTGGGTCCCAGATGGGGGTTTGAAACCAAGATAGACTGGCCAACTGACTATCGGTCGTAAGATAAGTTTGGCTTTGACTTCAGCCTTCAAAGACTTAATTGCGTGGCTGAAGGAGCTGTTAGCTGCTGGGTATGCCTTGAAACATTGGAACAACAGGCCTACTTCGTGAGGCAGAGTTCTCCTTTAAAAGCTGATGGTCGCTCAGTTGCTGAATACCCCGCCTTTTGTGTAATGCCTAAGGTCTATTAACATGTTCTCAACGCCGTATCATTTGTCTCTAACCCGAGCCAGATGAATCCAGAGCATACCCTCATGTGAACTGAAGTGCTGTGCTCGATGTGTTGCAGGGAAGCCAACGCCACGCCTGACCGCCCCGAGACGACGCCCTCTCCCGACGTGTTGGCGTCACCCCGGAACCTGCAGAGTCAACAGTCGTCGCTATGGACCCGACGCCAACAGGCGGTGTGCGTCCGCCACGCGTTCAAGCAGTACGGCTCGAAACGCAACCCGAACCACGTGTTGAGCAACCTGAACATGACCGTGGCCAAGGGCACCATGTGAGTTCTCTAACGTTAAGTGTAATGGGTGGGACATGTAGCATGCGCGGACAGAATATAACAAAGCGAGGGATCGCTTTGGAGACCTAGATGTAGATGAGAGGATAGTAGTGATATTGATATTAAAGAAAGGGATACGATTTTTTGGCTTGGGTTAATGTCCAGTTTCAGAGGGACTTGGTCAGCATTTGATTTGTAACAGTGGATATTGATGTACAAGGTTTGTAGTTTTGATGCAGGTGACGAAGGTTCATATTGTCTTCAGGGTTGTGACACCATGTAGTTCGGTAGGTTGGAAATAAGGTTTCAGGCAAACCTGCTACTTCCGAATTCAGGGTACTCCATCATCAGAATATGTACCTTGAAGATGGAGGCAGCAGTTTCATCCGAAACGTTGGTAGCCATCTACACTGTGCGGTGTCGCAACTAGAAGGACTCTATTTCCAAGTATTATTTACTAGTAGATGATAACTATGTTTTCTTTATTGCTAGTGGTGTGGGACTAAGTCCCTTGTACTGCGGCCACTTCTGGCCTATTGTACCAGCCCCAGATGATAGGTGAGTGAGATTGTGGAGCAATTAGTGGAATGAAGATTGGCAGGGGAAACCGAAGTACTCGGAGAAACCTGCCCCAGCGTCACTTTGTCCACCACAAATCCCACTTGATCAGACCCGGGATCAAACCCGGGCCGCCGCGGTGGGAAGCCAGCGACTAACCGCTTGAGCTATGGCGCGGCCTGATAACTATGTAAGTCAGTAAGCCGGTGAGCTTTGGGAAGGCGTGTGTTCACGAAGCCCTCGGATTGGTAGCAACACCTGCTGAAGCGTGAAGTTTGGTGTGAAGATGGATGATCCACATACTTCAGATCTCTGTATTACACGTTTGTTGCATGCTACCAATTGTAAACATGGCCACTGCGCGCATCTGTGACGCTCTATCTGGGAATTAAACGCAGTCGGTACGCATAGGCCAGCCTGGATAATTTGTCCACTATACTGGGTAGTGTCCGCTGGCCTTGTATAGCCGGAAACACACCGAGCAGCATGGGCAGGTTAGCGAGTCTCGACTGCAGTCCGTCAAATCAAATATTGGGATAGGTCACTACCGCGCCTTCCAAATCCTATGCAGTGTCTCATTCACCTGTAGTCTATCTGTCCGAGATGCAAGCAGTGTCGTCATCACTAACCCACAAAGACAGAATACATTCTTCGCAGAAAGACGAAACTTCTAAATCGACGCTGGTTCTCCACACAGCGCTGGGGGTGACATTAGGCGGCTCGAATTGTTGGACTGTTAAGTGTCTGGAAGTAGACTGACATCGGACGCGGCGCCACGCCTGTTGTACGCGCCTACGCGAGAATTGTTGGCACTTGTCATATATGGGACAGCCAGGCACTTCAACGTTCTCATCACAAATCGGACGTTAACCCTTTGAAGCCTCGCGCACAACCACATTTCAGATGTCAAATGGTCAAGACTTTAGGATTACCCACCGGAAGTCACTTATACAAACCATAAAGCTAAATTTGTCTCTCTACTTAATTAATTCAACGCCACTCCACGGAGACGTAGGGGTGAGCGGAGTTACAGGTCCACACATTCTTAGCCTGGGTGCTAATTATAGGTGAGCGATTAGCTTTACGCCCCGGCCGTTTTACTCCCAGTCAGCATTGCATAGGAGGCTGTGTCGGCCTGACGCTGTGGACAAGAGAAATATTTCTTGTCTCTGTTGAGAATGGAATCACGTCTCTTCGATCGCCCAGCCCATAGCGTATTCACTGTACCTCCTGAGCTATCCCGGCTCCCGCCTATACAAATCTTCTTCTTACAATACGAAACGCTGTGATGGTTTCTGTCATGTGACTCGGGGGCGCGTCATCCGGAAGTTTTAAACTCGAATCTGGAGAACTTGTTGAGAATGTTGCGGCACGTTTCACAATTTGCATAAGCATTTAAACAAGGAGGGAACAAACAAGCACCTCTTGTTTCTTCTTTTGGGGCCCACGATTTGAGCCATAAAGTCACGTAACATCTTGCAGCCAGTAATCCCATTTACGGAGAAACTGGCATGTTATGTCGAAGTGAGAACCAATACGTTCTGGAACCGGTCAAATCGCTCAGTCTCACAGCACAACAATACGCCATCTTGTTTCGATGGAAAGTTCTGGTTAACTGTTGGAGCAATGAAAGAAGTTTGAACTCTTTAAAGCGTATTGATAACTGTACGCGCCACCTGCATTAACATTCAGATCTGCTGTTCTCACATCGGCAACTGTGACGCGTGTAGGGAGAGGATCATATCCCCTCAATCTTCAGGGTCGAACAGCAAGCCAGTGAAAAAATATGCAGAAGCAGGCGGCAAGCTTAGCTACTTTCTTGCTTGTCTTACTCTTCAATCCTGAAGATGGAAGTGATATGTTCCTTCGAAACGTTCGACAACACCCTAAATAAATACAGGGCGTTACAATAGAGAAGCCTGCATTATGTCACACAGTGTATCTGTGGGTTCCATATGTTCTCACAATAAACCGGCTGGGCTTTGTAGCGAGACGGAGTGTTTCCTGTGAGGTACGAACCGATTTATATATATTATTTAGATGAAAATCAGTTTTCTCACTGCATGCCTCACATGCAGCCCTCCCATTGTTAACATCAAAATTTCGCCTTAATATAGCCCTNGTATGTCTCACTACCACTACCACTTCTCTCTCTCTCTCTCTCTCACTATGTATCAGTCCTCTCGATGTTAAATAAACATTTCACTCTAATGTTGCCCTTCCAACGTTCATATCGAAATGAATTCCTTGCATAGGCTCAACCTCTCAGCTCTGCTCATGAGAAGGGCCGTTCACCTTCTGGAGCTTCACCCTTTCTCAAAATTACCAGAAGGACGAGCGGTCACTGATCAGGAATTTTCAAAACGGCAGGGAAATGAAAGTGGTTTTTACTCCCTTAAATGTAGTCTCTGTCGCTACCCCCCGTCTCCCTCTCGGGTTCAGAGGGACAATATACGCATTATAAAGTATAATGGGAAATGAACACGCTAGGAGGACATCTGCAGCCCTAACCTGGCTGGTTTCCATGTAAAGCCACTAAACGCGCTGTTCGAGTGTGCGCAGGAATGGTTTGCGTAATACGGCAGGACAAAGGGGAGTGACTCACTGAAACTTATGTTAAATGAACGTGGAACGTTCCCGTTTCGAGTCGTTGCCCCTAGAACCTGCAATCAGCATTATCGCCTGACCTCCGACCTCCGTCGGGTCTCAGCTTTACGAAGTAGAGTTGACCGTGCGTGGCGTAGTTACTGCAAGACGTGTGTAATTTGTTCTGCATTTCAATACGTTGAAACCCATGAGTACAGGCGTGGCCACCAGATGGCTCCGCTCAGTGCCGTTGTATCGTGTGGCCCGCACAAAGTCAGAACATTGAGGTTCTCATAGCTGTGAGACTATGAAGCCTTGTGATCTGAGACTGACGCCATGCAGTGCCGTAGAATTCCACGGACGTCTCCACGAAGTTTTGGCGATATTCTAGCAGCTGCGCGGCTTTGTTTAACGACGCTGTGAGTATCGACACTGCATAGCGTTGGATGGTTAACGAATGAGGAGCAGTTGGTGGAATGAGAATTGGCAAGGGAAAGCGAAGTACTCCGAGGAAACCTGCCACTGTGTGTACCACAAGTCGCACGTGGCTTTACCTGGAATCAAACCCGGGCAGCCGCGACGAGAAACAGTATTTCGGCAGCCCACGGGTGCACGAGACGGTACGTGAGACACATGGAGATGTCCATCAGTTGCCTTACGTAAGGCTTCGTGATCTTGACTGCGGCTGAAAGCCAAAATGGCCGACTAACTTCATGCAGAGATCTCTCATATCGAAATGCAACTTAAACTGCGCAGAGCTGCCTTGTATGGGATGTCAGCTTCTCATCGCGAGATCAGGATTACGGTGTTCCGAAATGTTGACGTCATGTAATTTGATAAATAGGTACAAAACTTTCGGGAGAGCCTGTGAACCTCTGCAACTCTACTGTGCAAGTGTCGTCCTTCAATACTGACTATGATGACAGCAGGTTCTTCCGAAACTCCGGTTCCCGTCGTTGATCTATCTTGAGATTGGAGGCCTCTGGATCCTCCGAGACTTTGGTGTCTTTGCACCAAAATGAACGACGTCATATCTCAGGACACTGTAATATCCATTCCCGCATTAATAAAAACAACATCTTCTTGTCACGTGACAACTATCATGGAGATGCAGCTGTTCTGTTATGATGAGCACAAAACAAAACGCATGAAGTAACTTCAGAATTGGCTGCTCTGCTGACCCCACACTTCGGGACCCATCTTTAAACTGGGTATGTTTTATGTTGCCGCTTTGTGTAATGCTACCACATACCAATACACGAAAGCAACAACAGAAAATGTACCCACTGTAAACACTTGCCAATGTAAGGGGTGAGCAGTGCAGCCAACAGTGAATCTGCATACCTCAAGATCGCACAACATGACGCTACAATAACATATTTGTAATTTTAGGGCGCTATGTGAGGGCACTGCGACGCACGGCGTTCGAAATCCCTCTGAGGGTGCGTGCGTTCAACGTGACCTCCGCCTTTATATGTCGAGAGTGGGGTGCAGTGACTTTCTAATGACGGCATAATGATCTCTCATTCTCTGATGATGATGATGATCAATGATGATGACCGCGCACCTGCAGAGATGTTTTAGGCGCAGTATAATTTCGTAGTGTTGTTTAGTCAAGACACAAGTATCTTAGTCACGCGGCAGCCATTTGGGTCTTCATCTAATAAGGAAATAGCCTTGATAATCAAATGAACAGGTGCATTAGTCTTAAGACTGCCACTCATAAGAGTATCATGTTTCATTATTTGATGTTTCTAGTGTTTGTTCTTTGCCAGTGATTTCCCGGGCACCAATTTCCTGTTTCAGGATTGGCGATACGTCGTGTTTAGTTTATGCTGTTTTGTGAATTGTAATTT